GATTCAGTCGACATTACAGTACAGGGACATCAAATTTTGTCACAGATCGCGATCGACAGTTTGCACAGGCTCGAAAAGGAAGAAGAAATAGCAGCTACAGTGGCAGACAATCTCGAAGACTGGCGTAGACATGCTATATTTGTTCTGTTTCTACCTGCTACTGTTCTTCCTGTATAGCATGTTATACTGTTCCTGTTTCTACCTGCTACCGTACTGTACAGCATGTTATATTTGTCCTGTTTCTACTTGTTACTGTTCTTCCTGTATAGCATGTCATACTGCTCTTGTTCCTACCTGTTATTACCTGTTCCTGTTCCACGTGCATTCTACTGTTTGTTCCTGCATTGCACACTTTATATTATATAGTTTCAAGCATGTTTCCTTTCTATATAGGATGTTTAGAGAACTACAACCATAGGACCGTTTGATTTGACACTATAACTAGACACCCTAGAAAACTTAAACTCGTCATATCGGGGAGCTTGGAGCTAGCGCGGTGGGCAGCACGACCATCTTCAATAGCATAACATGTCTTTCCCAGCAAAACCATTCCTTTCCTAGAAATTAAACAACAATCCATAGGATTTCGAGGTTGTTTGCCTAGCGCAACATAATTCCTCCACATTTTTCTTTAGGCATTCGTATAGCTCTGCTGTACGGTTTAAGCCCTAACTGGTTCTAGGTTCCGAGGTTGTCGTCTGATACGACGTAGACCCTCATATCTTCTAGGCGATTTGTGTGACCATGTCACGCAAATATAAGCCCTAATTAAATAAAATTGACAGGATGAAACACTTTAATAATTTCTTCTCGAAACTGAAGCCAAATCATAGGATAGACTGGAAAGTCACTGAGGTTCTCTTCAAGATCTGTGACCTCCCCTAGTTTCCCTTCATTTAGATTCCTCAATAATGTTCCAGATTCGAGCCTTTCTCCTTTCACACCTCTTCGTCCGATTTCGTTGAAAAGTCCTATCTATTTGACTTTTGACTTCTATTTGACTTCTTTGAAGATAGTATTTCCTGATTTTTATCGAGAGTTTTCTTAGGTGACTTCGGTTATTTAAGATGTAATTAACTATAGGGGCTTTTCCTTATAAGAAGATTTTCCGAACCCAGTCTAAAATAAACCTTATTTAATTCTTTGTATTAAATAGGAGAACTTGTCGGCAAATAAAACGGTTTTGTAGACCAAACGGATGTCATATATTTCTTAGTTTATTTGATCGAGTCTCATCCTCAAGTCTTGTGTTTATCCCTCGGGATAGATATAAGATTTGAGGTAGAACGCTCTTTCATTTAAACTGTGAAAATTGTGAGGTCAGTTTGATTTCATTTTTTTCTAAAAATTATATATATGTATGTAATTAAAACGTCCTTCCGAAGCGGTCGACGAGACTTCACTTCCAGAGACCGACAGCTTCTTACGGGCAACCTCTCCAAACTTTTTAGCTGCCGACAACATTATACAGTATTTGCGAAGTGATGAACTGGTGTTTTTAGCCAAATTTGAAATGTTGAATAAAGATGTGCAAGAATTGAACAACATTCTAGTTGTTGCAGAATTTTTTGTTGTATTTCCTGAAAATTTGCTAGGACTGCCACTAGAACGAGAAATTGAGCTTGCCATTGATGTGCAGTCAGGGACATTTGCATTTACAAGTCTTCTTACTAGATAACTTCCAAAATATTGTAAGAAATGAAATGTCAGTTGCAGGAACTGATAAATAAAGGTTTTTCTGGCCAAATAATTCTTCTTGAGTGCTCCAGTATTGTTTGTCAAGAATAAAGAGGGATCTATGCAGCTATACATTGATTATAGAGAGTAGAACAAAATGACAATCAAGAACAAATATCTTCTGCTCAAAACCGATGATCTATTTGATCAGTTAGAAGTTGTTACTGTATTTCTTGGATTGATCTGAGAACAAAATATCATTAGGTTAGAGTCTAATAGGCAGATATAATCAAAATAATTTTTGGGATTAGATATGATCTTTATAAATTATTAATTATGCATTTTTGACTTAATCAATACTTTTGATGTATTTATGGACCTGATGAATCAAATCTTTTAGCCTATGTGGATCAGTTTGTTATTATCTTTATTGATAATGTTCTGCTATATTCAAGAACTGATAATGATCTTACCAAACATTTGAGGATAATATTGGAGTTGTTGAGACATAATTATATCAAAATGTGAATTTGGCTGCGGAGTATTGCATTTTTTAGGTATATAATCAGTGGCTAATGAATATCAGTGAATCCTTAGAAGGTGAAAGCAATTGTGAAATGTACTAAAAGAAATAAAAATTTACAAAGGTATATAGTTTTCTTGATTTGGCTGGATATTACAAGAAATTCATTAAAGGATTTTCACATATAAATATGTCGTTGTCCAAACTAATGAGGAAAGATTTTCAATTTGAGTGAGCTGCAGAATGTGAACAGAGTTTTCAAGAGCTGAAACATTTAACCACTGCGTTTGTGTTAGCTATTCCATCATGAGCATAATGATTGACCATTCTCACGAGACTTGGGCTGCGTTTTAATGCAGATTAAAAAGGTAATACAACCTATGCATCCAGACAGTTGAAGCTACTTGAGAGGAATTATCCAATGCATGATCTAGAGTTAGCTGTTGTAGTATTTGCTCTAAAAATTTAGAGGCATTTCTTATATGCTGTGAAATGCGAAGTCTTCATATATCATCATAATTTGAAGAACATTTTCACACATAGAGCTGAATTTGAGGAGGAGAAGATAGTTAGAGCTAGGGATTCAAATAAGCCAAGCCGGCTCAAGATTGACTCTTTAACAATCTCGTGAGCCGAGCTTATCGAGCCACAAGATCGAGCTTGAGCTCAAACTGGAGCTCGAGCATGCCCAAACTCGGCTCGTTGGCTCGCGAGTCGGCTCGATTAGCCTACCACTAGTCATGTTGATTCATTTTTCAGTGAGCTCCCGTTGCCTTCTCTTCCTTCGACACCAATACCTTCTTCATAGAGCTTTTGTGAAAATTGAGTTTTCAATTCGTGCTCACGAGCCTACTGCTACCAGTATGAGTTGAGCTCAAGCCCGACTCGAGCTCTAGCTCACAGTTTGGCAAACGAGTTGAGCTCGAGTTTGGCATGGCTTGAGTTCGACTAGGCTTGTTTGCCCATCTAGCTAGAGCTGATCAAGGATTTAGATATGGATATATAGTTTTGTATTGACCGAGCAAATGTAGTTATTGTTATTTTGAGCCGTAAATCCACAGGCATTGCAAGCTAAATTCTTACCCAGGAGTTGGATTTGAAATGTCTTGTAGTTGGAAATCAGAAGGCCAGATGATATGGGGTATTTACATCATTTAATCGTTCAAACAACGCTAATGGATAAAATCAAGAGATCTTAGAAAGTTAATAGTGAATATCTGATGTTCCTGAAGTAATGTCAATTAGTAAAGTGGTCAGATATAATTTTTTATGAAGACTGTATTAGAAACAAATGTCAGTTATAGGTACCTATTGATTCTGATTTGAGATAAGAAATTCTACATCAAGCTCATCATTTGGGCTATGCAATTCATTCAGGCGGCACTAAAATGTATAAGGATTTGACATTGTTCTAATGGTCAGGTATGAAGAAAGATATTGCTCAATATGTATTTGAATGTCAAGCTTATCTGATTGTAAAAGCTGAACATTAAAGATCTAACAGATTGTTACAAATAATGCTTATACCTGAATGAAAATTGGAAGAAATTGCTATGAATTTTGTTATGGGATTTCTTCGATCCAGGCAAGGTTATGATATTATTTGGTTCATCATTGACAGACTAACAAAGTCAACTCCAATCACTCAGACAAATTCTGTGGAAAAGTTGGCCAGCTTGTATTTTTAAAAAATTATCAAAGTGCACGGAATTCCTAAAGTCATCATTCCTGACATAGATCGAAGATTCACGTCCAGGTTATGAAAATACATTCAACATGGTTTGGTTACACAGTTGCACTTTAGCATAACATTTTTTCCACAAACCGGCACACAATCAGAAAGGACAATTTAAGTATCATATTCCAAAGATTTGTTAATTCTTTGTGTTCTTAACTTTGGAGATAGTTGGAAGATCATATTCCAATGATCAAGTTGGCCTTCAACAACAGCTTTCAGTCAAGTATCAAAATGACTCTTTATAAAGCACTATATGACAACAAATACAAAACTTCTTTAAGTTGGGTTGAAGTGGGTGAACGTTAATACTAGTTCCTGAGTTAGTTGATGAAGCTACAGGGAAAATCCAGTTAATCAGAGTCAGATTGAAAGTTTCTCATGATCTATAATAGAAATATCATGACTCGAAGTACAAAACAGTAGAATTTGAACTTAGTGATTTTGTATTTATTAAAGTCAGACTTATGAAAAGTACAAATAAATTTGGTCGAGGAAGCAAGGTGAGTCCCAGGTACATCGGTTCTTTTGAAATTATAGAATGAATCAATCCCGTTACTTACAGACTAGAGTTACTTGCTATCAGTTATTCATGATGTATGTCATATTTCAATTCTGTGAAAATGAGTTTCAAATTCAAACTAGAGGATTTTTCCTGAAGGCATTGAAGTGCAGTAAAATCTAAATTATATTGAAGAGCTTAAAGGAATTTTAAAAATTGATGTTAAGAAGCTGAGGAACAAACAAATTCTTTTTGTTAAAATAAAGTGGAAGCACGTGCTTGAAAAGAAGTTATATGTGAAAACGAAGAAATGCGACAGGATATTCCTTTATGTTTGAGTCATAAATTTTAAGAAAAAGAAGTAACGCGACAACTTTTTTATGAGGGGAGAGCTGTAACACCAAAATTTTCAAATTGAAGCTCTTCCCCAAATTTTGCATCCCTAAAAGTTTAATCGAAGCAATTTTAAACCTTAATTTATTCCAAATCCTGCGTGATCATTGTTCACAATCGACTTATTCATGTGATATTTGGCTTTGGCTTTCAATTGAAGGGTTGATATCCTTTCCAGAGCCTACGATTTTCTTCTTCCCCTCTTCTGATTCATTCCCTCACGAGAAAGCTTTGCTTCGTGCACCGCAGCATAAGAGGGATCAAATAGCATCCGCGTGCATGACAGAGTTCCATAGAGTGCATTTCAGGGCTCCATGATGAAATCGGTAAGTAGGAAGTCCTCTTTCACACTATTCTAGACATTCATTTCCTTTCTTACACTTTCATTTTAACGAATGCCACAAATTTGTGCTTTTTTTTTCATTTTCGGTAACTGTAGCAAAGACGAACTCATGTCGGAAGAGAAAATGTTGGTCTGTGGGTTTTCGTGACGGCTTTTAGCACGAAGATTAAGAAAGGAATAAGGGAATATGAAGAAGAGGTGGGATCGAAGAATGGTTGGTTTTGACGAGGGGCTTGTTTATGGTAAGATTTCCTAAATGAGTCTAATGCTTGGTTAAATCATTAAATGAGCCAAGATTCCATGAAATCCTAAGCTATCTACGATTTCCAGGTGGTTTACATGAGGTGACGGGCTTGAAACGATCGTGTGAAAATTCATCATAGGATTACTCCGTCAATTCAGGTGAAATAATGTTGTGCTAACTTAAGAAAAATATCTTTGTGGGTTTCCTTGTGATTCTATGTTTGAAATTGTTGTATTTAGAATTTTCTGTCTATTATGGATGAATATCTGCATTGACTGTATGAATGCAAATTGATTGCCCTTTTACAATACGTTTGATTTTACTATAACATGAATTTGATGAATATGTTTATAAAATCATTGCCTGCATGTCTTCAATTGCTATAATTCATGCATATGATATATGAAATATTTGATGAATGTTTGTTGCAAAAATTATACTTCAAGAAATGTCATAAGTGGTATTATAGATAAATTATAACATGAACTTGCAAGTAGAGATGATAGAAATGTAAAGTTTCCCGACTTCTACTATTCAAGCAGTGATGAAACTCTCAGAACCGTTGGGATTAGCTGGCGACAAAATGTATAGAACTATTAGTACCAAGGGGTTTTTAATAACTACTATGTTACGGGGCTCAATCTTTATTAATAACTGATGTGGCCTTCGGGCTAGGTGCGACCCAATGATATGACATGACATGAAAGTTGTTGAAGCCTATAAAAATACAAGTGATATTGCTATGATTTTATTAATGATTCTTATGAACATGTTTAGGATTACACATTAATGAATGACATATATGTTTTATACATCAAACATGATTTTCCGCATTGTTTTTTTTTTAAACTTTCTATACGATTTTAGCATGTTATAAGTTGTGTGTCGACATGTACAGTTACATATGAGCATGAATGTTGTTTTCTTTTGGTATATAAAATCTTATTTTTGCATTGATTTTTTTGCTGAGTTTATTGTTGCTCACTCTTTATTGTTTTCTTTTAATGATAAAGATCACTGGGGGCGGCGAGTAGCCATATATGACTTGTATAGCTTTTGCATTTCATAATTATGGGAAAATGTACACTCTTTTGGGTACATATTTTATTATGCTGGATTTAACAATTCTGTAAAGTTATACTTGTTTTGATGATATTAGTTTCAAGGTTTGAATATATGTGAATGTAAATGAATTATGAACAAAATTGTATAATTTATGCACTCATTGACTCATGATTCTGCAAGTCAGGATGAATGCTGGTTAGAGTTTAGTATGGCCGAATTGTCTGCCTCTATCGCACCGTAGCCGACCCTTAAAGGGGAGGGGGGTAGTTGGGTCGTGATACATATTGGTTTCTATTTTTTGATTTTTTTTTATGTATATTCTAAGAGAATAAAAAAAGAATGGTAATGTTCTTTCTTCGCTATTAAGACCTTGCTTGATTCTGACGGGAAAAGTAAAATAAATTGAGAAGCGGTTTTAGTATTGGGTTGATAGCCAAATAAGCCACTCAGATGCTAAGTGATGTTCAAGAATTCTCATAATGATTTTTCATTTGATCCAAAGTAGCTTCAAAAGGTGGGAAGGTAACATTTAGCTAGGGAGAATCAAACGACGACAAGCAAAAATGATGTTACCCTTTAATGGAAAAGTTTATCATTTCTATTTAATATTAAATGAGTTCTTGTTATCTAGGCCTTTCATAAACACCAATATACGTTAAAATAGAACTTCATTAAACAGATTTTCCTCTATTTTGCTGTCCTTTTCTAAAGCTGCATTTGTGTAAATTACGTATCCTCTGCTTTCTTCCTCAGGAAAGGGGCAATATAGTTAATAGTAAACGGCATACTTTCAATTAGAATAATGATAAATCCTTCAATTTATTTCAGATAATTCTTATTTTTCTTTTACCTCCAAATAGTTACGGCTAATGGTGCTTATTAGAACCAAGATTATACATTTAACTTTTGCAATTGACTTGTAAAAAATGCAGCTTGAAAGTAAAAATGTTGATCCTTTAAAAAAATAAAAAAGTTTGCAAGATTTTATCAATCTGTGCATCCAATACCAGGAAAACTTCCACAAATTAGATGCAATAGAATATTGTTTCCTTCTTTTTTATCAACCCAACTGCTATTTTGTTACATTATATACTCCCCTTCTAACCTCCTATTGATTCTTATGTCTTTTCTGACAGGATTCTCTAAAAGCTTTGCAAAGCAAACAGCAGAGAACAGTTTACCGTTTAACTCTAGTTAAAGGATGGAATGCTGAAGAAGTAGAGGCATACGCTAACTTGCTAGGCCTCGGAGAACCAGATTTCATCGAGATTAAGGGTGTCACATACTGTGGCTCGTGAGTTGCTTATTCTCTTTCCTTTAGTCTATTCTTAGTAATCATGGTTCTGTTCAGTGGCGAAACTAGGTTAAGCCCAATTTTTACTTTTGAGATTTCCTCATAAATGATGGAAAATCTAATATTTTTTTTCTATAAGTTAAGACAATATAGTTGTTTTGTCCACTCCCAAATTGTTTGCCCTACACCTAGAAAAATTTTAACATTTGATAATTTTGCCACACTTAAGAATGAAGCTGGTGTCACCTCTGGCTCTGTTATGGAGTTCTCTACATGTTTGTTTTACAGGACTGCCACATCAAAGCTGACAATGGAGAATGTTCCCTGGCATTCTGATGTTAGAAAGTTCTCTGAAACTTTGGCCATCAAAAGCAACGGCCTTTATGACGTAGCATGTGAGCATGTTCATTCTTGCTGTGTTCTTCTGGCAAAAGTTGGCAAGTTCAAAATCAATGGTTTGTGGCACACCTGGATAGACTACGAAAGGTTTCATGATCTAGTAGGTCCTTACCCTGCTACTTTTTCCACTTATTTATTTTTATTTTTTAATTAGAACTATGCAGTTATAGAAAGTGAGTTATTTATTTATTTATTTATTTTTATTTTGCTTTTTCGCATTTAATAGAATATTATAATATTATTTTAATAATATTTATAATTGATTTGAGAGCGGATAAAAATGTTAACTCACCATTGCTTAAAAGAACGTAAGAGCTGAGATTATTCAAAGCAAGCACTTGTGACGGCATAAAGCCGACATTTGGGGAATCAGAAACTGATAATTTTCATTGGGATCTAGGTGTCTTCAGGAAAGGCCTTCAGAACTGAAGACTACATGGCTCTTACACCATCTTGGGCCGTGTATGGTGCAGAGGAAGGTGGATTTGATCCAAATCAGTTTCGCTATAAAAAAGAGCGTCTTAAAAACTAGTTGGTTGTTTTATAGAGCCACACAAAAAAAAAAAAAAAAAAAAAAAAATCAAAATCTACCAATAGTTTAATGACAGCAACTAAGCTGTTCTTTATGTTTCATGTTTTATGTGATATTAAAATTTTCTTTTACTATTAGTTTAAAAAAAATCTGTGTTAAAAAAAGCTGATATAGATTGATTTTTGGTGGCTTATTTGTCGAATCATATGGTCCGTTTAGTCATCCACTTCCACCACAAGAATATTGTAACCGAATGGGAAATACCAACGAATCAGCTAAAGCCAAGACTTTTCACTTGTTGCAGTTATTAGTGCTTTCGATATATAAATATAAATATAAATATATATATATATATATATCATATATATAATATTTGTGTTAATTCTGGAGTAACAAAAGAAGCAGGTGAATAACTGATAATATTGAGATTGTGGAAAACATCTTCAAAATTGGTAATCTTTGGCATCAATGTACGTTATGATAATGTGCGCATCTGTATAATTAATTTAGTCTGTTTTGTTTTTCATATGATATGAAATACGAAGGGAGTTAGGAGTGCAAAAAGCCAAAGCTTGAGCGAGCCTCGTGCTCTACGTAATTGGTAGATTCGAAATCCTTTTTTTTTTTTTAAATTAGCGTTCGAAATGGCTCATAACATTTTTAAGGTTGCTGTCAATTCAAAATTTTTTGATCATTTCAGTTCGTGCTTGGAGTTTAATTTCAATGATTTAAAAATAATAATTTTATTTATGAAAATCATAATTAATGGAAAAATTATAATAAATATAATTTTTTAATTTTTGCCAAAAGAAGTAAACCCAAGTCAACGTTTTGTCATGCTTTGTGAGCTTGATTAAGCTTATTGGAAGCGGGATTTGATCGATTTATTGTTATTAGATATGTCTCATCAAAAAAATTATTTCAACTATAAGTTTGCAGAAATGAATGTTTTAATAGTTCTAGATTTCATTTTACAAATTTTCAATACAAATACATTGAGATTTGGTCTTAGATTATTATTTTTTTAATAATGCCTCTTTAGCCCTTAATTTTCAGATGTCATAGTCATTGAGCCTAAAAATAATATAATTGAAGTAAATGGAAACTGTTAATTTTATTTTCTTAATATTTATGATTCTTTATAAAAAAAAAAAATTTGAGTATAAATCTTCTTTAGATTTTAAAACTCATTTTCTTTAATAATTTATCGTTTTTTACTCCTTTAGCTATAGGTGAGGACAAATTTCTTACCAAGATTTATAACATTTGTTTTGGGTCTTTAATTTTCTCTTAAGAAAAAGTTGATTGTTTCAATTTGGATGGATTAAAAGTTGAGAAATCAAAAAGATTTTTAAGTTTTGTAGGGAGCTTTGATCTTCTTCTAAAAAGAAGAAGGTGGTCCATATTTGGGTTGATTCATTTCAAGGTGAGAAAGTTTCTTAATCTGTATGATGGATCTTTAATATTTTCTTAAAGCAAGTTGGTTGACTTTGCTTAGTTGGATAAGATATTGATTGAGAGAAGTTCATAATTCATTTGATGGAGCTTTAGTTTTCCTCTAAAAATTGGTTAAATAACACCATTTTGATGAATTAGATCAATAAAAAGAGACATTTTCATCCTATTTTGAGACTCTAATTTTTTCTCAATCAAGTCTTAATTTTCCATGAAATTTAATGTACCGTGTGTGTGAGATAGTGATTAACTATTGGTCGCTAAAATTCTCTCTTGAAAAATTTTCTTTGGATTTAATTTAATTTATATATATATATTTGATTTTTAAAAAAAATAACATTTTAATTTTTTGAAAAATGAGACTAACATAATCTAATTCATTTAATAGTTTAAATAAACGAGCACAACACCACGAGCAATGCACATATCCCAAAGAATAGACACATTACTTGATAGTGATGTTTGATTAAATAAACTAATAAATTTATAACATCCGTTTGGTTTATGAAATCTCTTTATGTTGATCGACAAGTTCCCCTATCAAACATAAAGATTAGATAGAGTTTATATTACCTGAGTTCTAAAGCTCCCTATAGAGACAAACCCTATAATTAATTACATCTTAATTGACTAAACTCACCTGAGAAGACTCTTGATTTAGGTTAGAGATATTTGTCTTCAAGAATCTCAAAGTTTAGGGCATCAAGATCGGACATGGAAAGTCAAATGGGAATGGACCAAATAGGAATAGTTAATTTGGAATCTGATGCGCCCTTAGTATGTGCTATTTTCTGCATGTTTTATGTCAATTAAATCCCCGGTAAGAGTGCCAAAAACTTGAAATGCTATAAAATATAGAAAATAACTCACACACTAGAGGTTCTATGCAAATGCATGTATCGCTTCAAGTAATATACGAATTTCTTTAAAAACCCCAGTATCAATCCCACAGAGAAGCAAGGTAAGAAATCCCTTAAGCTAATTCTAGTTTACTATTATCAGTCCTTAGTTTGGAATGTCAATTTAAGTGGTTTTTCTAAGAAGTACTCCTAAAAGGCAAGTCTTAAGTTTAAAACAACAAACAACTACTTCTAAATGAAAATATTAATTTTAAAGATAACCCTTTATGGATGAATTGGTTTGGGAAATTTTGAGATGTTAAAAACTACTATTCATATGAAGTGAATTGGACAATGTATAGGAATGCGATACATTAAATATTATATGCGTCAAATAGGAGCAATCCTATTCTTTACCCTCTAAGAGTGCATAAAGAACATTGACTAATCCAGAGTTTGGTCCCTAAATCTGTGGTTAGGTTGAGATGATACTGGTTGCCACTCCAGAGCTCCCACTTCTCCTTTGCCTGAGGGCTAACAATCTCACTTTAGTTCCTAAGCAACTGGACCAGATATGGGATTTTAGTCTGTCACCCTAAAGTCTCCAATTCTACGTCCATCAAAGTATATTTCGTTATTTATTTGCACTTAACCCAATGTACTACATTCTCATTTTTAAAATTGAATGTGATTCTTTCTTTGTTATAGAGAGCATAGCCCTTTCGGATCTTATATTTCTCAACAAAGTTTAACATTACAATAGACCTAAATTACAATGTAAATGAAGTTCAATTATACTTTCCTATTTATTTTCAGTCAACCCCATGGACTACATTCTCATCCATGAAATTGATTATGATTCTTACTTTATTGTAGAAAGCGTAGCCGTTTCGGATCTTATGTTTCTCAACAAAATCTAACATTATAACAGACTTAAATTGCAATGTATATGAAGTTCAAGTAAAAATCATCACATTTATAATTAAAATGTATACTAAAATGCATCCCAAAATCTTAAACATGAATCCTACTCATTGCAAAAGAAAAAAAATGAAAATAACAGCATAATCTTCTAATGCCACTATTTCCAAACAAGAAGAAAGAGTAACAAAAACTACTCACAAAGCACGAAGAAAACAAGAAGGAAAACTTCATTACATCAAAGAAAATCCACTAGATAAGTGTTTATAAAATTATAAGATAATGAAGAATACAATACTTAGCTTTTTCCCTTTGAATGAAAGATGAAGATCTCTCTCACAAAGTCTCCCGCTAATCCATGCAATGCTTGTACAATTCCTTACAGATTCTCTCAAAATCCCCTCTCCAATCTCTCCAAAAAAGGTAGAAATCTACATTTCTACTTTTATTCTAAGATCTCTAAAAATTTCTCACAAATTTCCCTTCATACACACGCTTATCATGAGAGGCTTCAGCCCCTCTATTTTAAAGAGATAAAATTCCTTCTTTTTCCCAAAAGACACATCTTTTCATTCCAAGAGGCATATCTCTTCATTCAATAGCCTTTCCCAAGTGTATATATTCATTGAACCACTCCATGGGGCATTTGATTCACGTAGAGCCTTCTAGAACATCTCAAAATAGTAAAAAAACTGCCAAAAATCCGTCCATAACCATCCCTGACGCCTCCGACGCCGGTTTCTGGTGCCTTTAGCATTTGTTCTCTGGATTTTAGCACCTCAGGCACTTGTTTTCTCAATTCTGGTGCCTCTGGAACCACTGGTACCACCCTGCAGTAGCTCTATTGTTTTGCTCCATTTGGCTCCTTTTCAGCTCCATTTCGCCCCGTTTTAGTTACGTTTCGCTCCTAACATATATACTTACAAGATAAGCATGAAAGCAAACTTTCTTTAAAGTGTAATTTTATTCAAGAACGTGTGATAAATGTAAAGGAGATTAAGTATAGAAATTGAAATGTGTCAAGTCAGAATTTTCTTTCTTACTTGTTTTTACTCCTCATTATACCGTTTTTGCTTCATTTTCACCAAAAGTCCATTTCTTATACTTGAAGACAAAATATATAAAATAATTTCCTTTAAAGTGTAATATCATTAGAAATGTGCATAAAATGAACATGAAATGTACTCTAAAAATAGTTAATTTTTAGGTGCATCAATACCTCCAAACTTAAACGTTACTTGTCCTCAAGTAATACTATAACTTTAAAAATATGTTGATTTATATTAGTGGGTTTCTTTAAGATGTACTAAAATTTTGTTCTAGAAATGTTATAGTTCAAAATATAGGAATTTATAGTAAATTAGATGATATCTAAGGTATCAGAATATTTAGTATTAAACTATAGGAATCCTGATTTTCTTATTAAATCAGAAATAATTGAAAATTTTTGAAAGTTTGGATTCTTAGAAAAATATTAATTTCAAAATTTATGACATCTAGAAAAAATAATTTTAATAATACTTTTTGAAATTAAGCTTAGGAGTGATATAAGTTTTCTTCCTTAGAAAGATTCAAGTGAAATAATTTTTTTTAATTAGGTTCTAATCCTCAAGCTTCTCCTTGATTTTCATACCTTGCTTTTTACTCTTTCTTTTTTTTTTCTTCTTTTTCTTTTTCTTTTTCTTTTCCTTTTTTTATCTTTTTCCTTTTTTTTTTTCTTTTTCTTTTTTAGGTGAGGATTACTACCCTTTAATATTTTTGAATTTCACTATCCCTTTTCTAAAG